ATTTTTAACTTTTTAGTTTGATTTGTTTTTAAAAAGGTTTTTTTTTTTTTTTTTTTTTTTTTTTTTTTTTTTTTTTGTCTGTTACCACTTTTTCTCAGCTCTCACCGAACCGATTTCTTTCAATGATACGTCAAAAGATCACAAATCGTATCTAGTCGAAGACATTACCCTCAAAAATTGAAAAAAATTGAAATTAAATATCGCTAATTTTCGAAATTTTTTCAATTTTTTTTACTAAAAACTGCCGTAACTTTTTTAAAAATAAACATATCAATATAATTCTTTTTTTTTGTAGATGCATGATGTCATTACCTATCATTTGGTATATTTTTTTTATAAATCTGACTTTTTACCTGCCCACAGGGGGGGATTTAAAATGACAACTTTTTTACAAAAAATTAATTATTCAACTTAACTTTTTGAAAGTGTTCCGGAAGGTCTGACACTTTTATATATATTTTAAATTAAAGCTAATGTAATATACTTTATAATAGTAAAAAAAAATTTTAGACTTTATTTTATCTTCATGGTAAAAACAGACATTAAACTTAATAAAAAAAATACGATTTTTGTAAAAAAATTCTTTTTTATATTTTTAACTTTATAATGCTATAACTTTTTGAAAGATGTATGGATCAATATAATTCTTTTTTTTGTAGATGCATGATGTCTTTACCTATCATTTGGTATATTTTTTTTATAAATCTGACTTTTTACCTGCCTACAGGGGGGGATTCAAAATGACAACTTTTTCACAAAAAATTAACTTTTTCAACTTAAATTTTGAAAGTGTTCCGGAAAGTCTGACACTTTTATATATATCTTAAATTAAAGCTAATGTAATATACTTTATTATGGAAAAAAAAAATTTCGGACTTTATTTTATCTTCATGGTGAAAACAGACATTAAACTTAATAAAAAAAATACGATTTTTGTAAAAAAATTCTTTTTTATATTTTTAACTTTATAATGCTATAACTTTTTGAAAGAGGTATGGATTAATATATTTTTTTTTTATGTAGATGCATGATGTCTTTACCTATCATTTGGTATTATTTTTATAAATCTGGCTTTTTACCTGCCTACAGGGGGAATTCAAAATTAAAGCTAATGTAATCTACTTTATTATGTAAAAAAAAAATTTAGGACCTTATTTTGTCTTCACGGTGAAAATGGCTACCAAATGCTATTATTGTGTGAAAATTATCGATTTTATTTTTTACATTTTTAACATTATAATGCTATAACTTATTGAAAAGTGTATTGATCAATATAATTTTTTTATAGGAAATACTATTTTTTAATAATCCCTTTTTCATTCGACATACAGTGTATAAAACTTATAACTTTGTTAACTGTTAACTTTATCAAAAATGACCAAATCAGTATACATTTTTTTTTATATAGATGCATGTCTTATTTCTATCATTTGGTTTTTTAGCTTCGATGCGAAGCTGAGAAGGTATTGGTTTTACTAAGATGTGTTTATTTTTTTTTATTTTTTTTTTTTTTTGTGTCTGTTACCACTTTTTCTCAGCTCTCACCGAATCAATTTCTTTCAATGATACGTCAAAAGATCACAAATTGTATCTAGTCGATGACATTACCCTTAAAAATTGAAAAAATTTCCCTCGTTCCCCGTAAATGGGGGAAACCTCCAAAAAAATTACAAATTTAAAAATCGCTAATTTTCGAAATTTTTTCAATTTTTTTTACTTAAAAGTGCCATAGCTTTTTCAAAAATGAACATATCAATAATATATAGAAAAATTACATTTTTAACTTTATAATGCTATGACATATTGAAAAAAAGGGNCTCCAAAAAAATTACAAATTTAAAAATCGCTAATTTTCGAAATTTTCGAAATTTTTTTTACTTAAAAGTGCCATAGCTTTTTCAAAAATGAACATATCAATATAATATATAAATTTTACATTTTTAACTTTATAATGCTATGACATATTGAAAAGTGTATGGATCAACATTATTTTTTTATGAGAAATAATATTTTTTAATAATCCCTTTTTCATTCTACATACTTTATCTTAATTAGGATATTAATAATGAACTAGCAGATAATGTAGCTTTTGGAATAGTCCACCAATTTTTTAAAATTAAACAGTATCTAAAGATTTGCATCGAAGCGTTTTTTTTTGATAGTGATTTTAATCACTGTCAGATATCATTATACTTGATCCATCTATACCACGTCACCACTGTGCCGCGACCCCCCTGTGCTGGGTTTTTTTTTTTATAAATCTAACCCTTTACCTACCCAGAAGAGGGATTCAAAATAATAACTTTTTTTTTTTAGTTAAAGTAAATCATTAAAATTAATTCAGTTCTGGATATTTCAATTGTAGAATCTTTTTAAATACCAAAAATTACTTAGAAATGATTACTATGATTTCTATTTAAGTGTTCTATTACGATAAAAATGGAAAAAATAATAAGTTTTTCTGATAAATATAATGTAAATAGTAATTATAAAATTTTTATGATTACTAAAAAAGTTCAAAAATATGAACTTTTTTAATTTTCTCAACAAATATTTAACTTACAAAAAAATGTTTCGTACAAAAGTTGTTTAAAAGATGATTATAAACAAAAAAATTATCTTATATTTTTTCATTTAAACAAATATTTTTCGAGTTACATTACATTTAATATGAGTACTAAAATTTATATTCCATTTTTTTCATTTTCGGTTACTTTTTATCATGTTATACTTACATTAGACACAATGTTAT